GACACTGAAGACTGGAGTAATGATACTGAAAATTTACCTTTTTTTCACAGGAATAAATAGCATTTTAACTGTTTTCTGTTTGAATATTTTTCCTTTTAAATTGTAATACTATTTCATAATATTAATGTTTTTGATTGTTTTTTATGAAGTAAATGCAGCTTTAGTGAGCATAAGAGACATTTAAAAAGTATTAATTTTTCCAAACTTTTCACTGGTAGTGTATGTGTCACAGTTGAATTTATTACACTTATTAATTTTTTCTCTGCAAGTCTTCAGCCATGCGTGTATGCTGTTGAAGTTGTTGTAGCCGTCTGACCTGGGATACTGTAGGTCAATGTGTTCCCACAGACATGGAAGTCTTGGCTGAATTAGGTCAGGTTGCTGTGAGGTTAAGTCCTTTAGGCAAGATCACTGTAAGCCGGCTAAGAGGCCGGAGGTGACTGGAGTATGTACTGTTCTGCTCCGTTTCTTCGAGAAACAAATTAAAGGGCTCACACATATCTTGAATGCTTCATCATGCTGGCATTATCAGATTTGAATCTTATCTGGCTGATGTGAATGGTGTGTGAAATATATCTTGCATCCTAAGAATGTGTGCAGGTGTTCATTTTCAATCCTGTGATGTAATGTGCCACTGGCTCTGATCCAAACCCTAGTTCTCCTAGTTCTTTTTTTGGTATTTCCTCTGAGATGGCTTTATTTATTTTAATTGGAGGACTCATTGACTCTCATTCACTAAACGTGTACGCCTGAGTCAAATCTGTCTACTAATTTTAAGCAACAGTTATTGATAAAACAAATCATGATTCATGTGTAGCTTTCTTGCAAATTTTTTTTTATTTAAATTTTTTTCTGAAATTTGCAAACAACTGAAACCACACACAGAAATTATGAAAGGCTGCCCTTGTATGGAAATAAATACAATTTAGCTGTGTTTTTCACTAAGTGAACACAAATAACTTTTACCAGTAACAAACAATATAAACCGTAATATTTAGGAATCGTTTTTTTATTTTTACCAAAACTTTTAAACAATTTTCGTTTTCACAAATAAATGGTGTATAAATGGAGAATTTCTTATGTTTTAGCAAAGTTTAAACTTGTCCATTAACTTTAGCAAAGTTAAACTTTATTTAGAAGTTAATGGACAAATGTGACCCTGGAGCACAAAACCAGTCTTAAGTCTGAGTATATTTTTAGCAATAGCCAAAAAAACATTATATGGGTCAAAATTATCGAATTTTCTTTTATGCCAAAAATCATTAGGATATCATGTTCATGATAGAAGGTCGTGTTCCATGAATATATTTTGTAAATTTCCTACTGTAAATATATCAAAAAGTAATTTTTTATTAGTAATATGCATTGCTAAGAACTTCATTTGGACAACTTTAAAGGCGATTTTCTCAATATTTAGATTTTTTTTTTGCACCCTCAGATTCCAGATTTTCAAATAGTTGTATCTCGGCCAAATACTGTCCTATCCTAACAAACCTTTTTCAAACCTGGTTTTGTGGTCCAGGGTCACATATGTATCTTTATAAAATTTCACAATGTTATTGCAGTTTAAATAAGTTTTCCATCACGTTAGATATTGATTATTAATCATTCAAACCCCTTTATATAAATGACCGCCGATCAAAGCATAGTGGGCAATGGCCAATACTAGCCCTTAGAGTGTTCACGGATCTGCACTTTGAATTTCCAGTTATGCTTTGAAAATGTCTATTATCTAACTATCACTTGTCAAAGTTAATTTTGAAGTGTAATTTTTGCAGTAATGCTTACTGTCATAGACATACATTCATTTTGCTCTCTCTCTCTCTGTGTGTGTGTGTCTTACCGCTTTATATCTGTGTCTTTTTTTTATCAACATTGTAGCTGATATATAGATTTTAATCTATAAAAATGGCTCTTTTCCATTCACTTCCTGTGGTCAGTCAGTTTTGTCAGCCAATGTGTCACTTTTTTTATGGCCATTTAGGATCAATCTAAGTCCTTTTTTTATTTGTTCAGATTGCACATCTAATAAAGTCACCAAGTTTTGCAACATTCAGATTGTGAATTATTTTAAACAACAAAACAAAATCAGTCAAAAATGACTGAGGAGCTTATTGGTGTTAAATCCTTAATATCCCTAATCGGAAGATATGTTTTTGGGGGGGTATGTTTTATGATTGCTTTTTATTACTGCATGTTAGTATATTGGGAGAAATGTAACTTGCTTATTTTGTTCTCAAGGGAGCGTGGAGACACGTACTACTGCATGCTGTTCAATGATGAGGTCCACACGTACGAGCAGGTCATCTATACACTACAGAAAGCCGTGAACTGCACTCAGAAAGAGGCCGTCAGTTTCGCCACCACTGTGGACAGAGATGTAAGTTCACCTGCTGTTAGTTCTACAGTTATTTCAGCCTCAGACGTCACGCCCACGGACCGCTGGCTGAACGTCTGATGCGTATGGCACACAAAAGTGGAAACACTTCAGGAGTTTCGAAGTCGTCATCGGATTGGGTAAATTTTCCAGGATTTATAGGAGACGTGTGTGTCACGTTCTTTAACGTTCCGCCTGGAAACAGATGCCGTGACACCAAACCCCCTCACGAAAGAAGAAAGCCTTCTCGTTCACAACTGCGAGCGCTTATCAGGATAAATGTACGCTGGATTTTCAAAAGTATGTGAAATAGTGCTGTCAAACGATTAATCGCAATTAATCGCATCCAAAATAAAAGTTTGTTTACATTATATATGTATGTGTACTGTGTATATTTATGTATTTATAAATACACACACATACAGTATATATTTATAATTTTTTTTATACATTTATATATTCATATTCTTATATTTTATATTATATATAAATATATTTAATATATAAACATAACATATTTTTCTTAAGTACATACATGCATGTTTGTCTATATATATATATATATATATATATATATATATATATATATATATATATATATATATATATATATATATATATATATATATATATACACATTATGTAAACAACAACTTTTATTATCAATGCGATTCATCTTTTGACCGCACTAATGTGAAATATTCGAAGTTCGCGGCATAGAATCTTTGGTTGTATTCACACCAGGAAAGTCTGTTAGTTCACTTGCTTTGGTCCGGACCAAATACAAAGTTGATTATTTTTTAGTTTTTTTTTGTTTGGTGAGGTTCGCTTTCACACTGCCCTTTTTTGCAAGTAGACCAGAAATAGTAAACAAAACCACACGTGTGCTAAGGTCATCCATTCATTGGACTGAAGTTACAACAGGATAATCATGGAGATCTTTTGTAGTGCAATTTTTATTCTTTTACTGATTTAGTGTTATCAGATACTAACGCAATATGAAGAAACTTATAAGCATCATATGAGACAAAGCCATATGATGTTGTAATTATGACTTGCCGAAAATAAAATCTCTATATATATATAAAATACTTAAAGCATATCACAATGTTTAAACATTTAACCTATATAAATATGCGCTATTAGGTGCATATCCAATCGTTTGTGCGGAGAGTGGAAGCTGAAGCGCACTTCAGGACATCACTGTTTAAGTTCAGAGATGAAGACTGCTATCTAGTGGTCGAGATATAAACTCAAAACGAAACAACTGCCATGAATCTTGAATTATTATTATTTTTTTAAATATTGATATTCCATTTTTGAGAATCGATGGAGTATCGCCAAACAAAATATTGCGATACTCGCATGTATCTATTTTATTACATCCCTAGTCATATTCACACCTTAAACGAACCGTACCAGAGTTCGTTTGGAAACGGTCCGAGACCACCTCTTCAGCTGGGTCTCGGAGCGGTTGTTTGGTCCGCACCCGAGTGCGATTGCTGTATTCACACCTGCCAAAAAGGTCCGTACCAAGAGGCGAAACAAACTTGAGTTTGATTCAATCGAACCTAACAAGACAGGTGTGAATACACCCTTTAAAATACGTCCCGAGAGTTTTACACATCGGTCTGTTATTGTGGCGACATTTCCACACTGGTCTCTAAAGTCTCTAAACGTGACGCTGAACGAAACAAACTGTGATTGGTTGTTTGACATGTCGGTCAAACGACCTCATGGGTGGGCCTTGGCCAATGAAAGCTGCCATGGATTCCAGACCTTTAGCCGCCATTCTGAAGGTCTGGCTACACGAGACTAGTTCCACAGTGCCACGATTCAGGCTTAAGGTTAAGAACAGCTTGTTCTTGCTTTTGTTCATTGATTATTTCTGTTCACTGTGTTCAGGGCAGGAAGTCTGTTCGCTTTGGGGACTTCCAGTTTTGTGAGCAGGCCAAATCTGTTATTGTGGTGAGTCCTGAACAATCACAAATCCCATCAGTTTCCCTCAGATGTGTAAAGCGATTGAGTTTTTTAATCTTTGTACTAAAAGGTCTGGTTAACTAGGACATTCATTTACGTTTTATGCAGAAATGCTCCCCAATTTGCATACAGCAGTTTCAGCATCAGGCAATGATACATAGTTCACAAACAAGATTGTTAGTTGTGTTTGGTTTCTGTTATTGTGGTGAGTCCTGAACAATCACAAATCCCATCAGTTTGCCTCAGATGTGTAAAGCGATTGCGTTTTTTAATCTTTGTACTAAAAGGTCTGGTTAACTAGGACATTCATTTACGTTTTATGCAGAAATGCTCCCCAATTTGCATACAGCAGTTTCAGCATCAGGCAATGATACATAGTTCACAAACAAGATTGTTAGTTGTGTTTGGTTAAACAAACAAACATTACAATTACCTATTATCATTATTGCCATACATATCAAACTTTGGTTTCTTGCGTGTCCTCGCATTGTTGTGCTACATACATGTGACTTAAAGTCTCTAAGCAGTCAGTCCCATAGACTGACATTGAAGGAAGGACATTATAACACCCCTTGGCAACCATCCACAACACTTTAGCACTGTGTGGGCAACTTTTCAGAGATTAAAGCATCATTAAAATGCTTGTGTAAATGTAGTTTGTTTGTTTGGACACATGTTTTGCAGAGGAACACGAGTCGGCAGACGAAACCCCTGCGGGTTCAAGTCATGCACTCTTCTGTAGTGGCTCATCAGTGTTTTGCACTCAAAGCTCTCACCTGGCTCGGCCAAATCATCAGATACTCAGGTCAGTTTCTGCATCTTTCTCTCACTTTCTTTTTTTTTTCTCTCTCCTTTGAATTCTTTCCTTTCAATATCTTTTAGAAAAGCCTTATTGTTCAGTTTCTGATTTATCTTCTGCGATGCCAAATTCTTTTCCATTTAGCAGTTGCAATAAATTTGGCTTTAATGGCTGATATTTTGTTGTTTTTGCTATGGTTCCAGTAATTATCAGTTTACCAAATGCTACCACCAGTTTTAGGTGTTTAAATGGGTAATGACATTGAATTTTTTTTATTGCTATTTTAATATGTTCCCTGAAGTTCACTTTTGCACCAAAAGCATATATGTGGAAAGACAATTATTTTCAACCCCCATTCTTACCCTCTGCTCCTTTAAGGCTTGTCAGTAAATGTTCACTGTTATGATTAACATAATTTCATGAAACACTATCAGTCCCCCCTTGATATTGCACAAAAGTGTTTAGAAAACATTTTCCATATAAAACTGCCATTTAGAGACCAAGCGTTATGAAATCATTTACTTGTGGTTTGATGGAGCTGCTGCCAGATCCAATACAGTTGGCTGCTTCCTGTTTCAACAGAATTTTCATTGCATGCTCTCCATGACATTGTGCCACATTTAAAAAACAATGCTTCGAACAAAGATTTGATACTCCGATGCAATCCGGGGATGCCATTAAACTGGATGCGTAAAAAAAGTGAACATTCTTTGCACTTGCAGTTGTCCTGTTATCAGGAGTAGCTCAAATGCCTGGAGAACGTGAGAAACTGAACGCGTATCTGTATACTGTGTCCAGTGTAGACCGCGGCAGTGATTATAACGGTGCTTGCATCAGTGTAGGCTAGTGTCAGCCGTTTCATACACACACACACATAATGTGGAGGACGTTTTAATCTATGAAACTTGCAGGATGATTTAATGGTACAAAGTCCTCTTATGTCAAAATTTCAAGACAAATTTGATTTATTTTGTCATGATGTAGCAGTGTGCCTTGTGTCAGTGTTTGTGAAGAATCAGTGCCTGAGTTTATTGCTGTTCCTATCAGATGCTCTGAGGAGGATCCTATGTCAGGTGGGTCTGCAGCGAGGACCGGAGGGAGAGAACTCTTCTCTAGTGGACACGCTCATGCTCTGTGACTCCAAGATGTGGAAAGGTGAATGAATGTGCTGACATCAGCTCTACTGAGATACTACAGCACTGGAGGAACACACATCCCAGTGAATGCCATGAAAGCATGTTCATATCACACTTTCCCCCAAAATCAAAAGAAAAACAGATTAAGATGTTTAGTATTCTAGGAAAATTAAGTATAATTTAGGACAAGTGAAATTTATTTGGAGTATTTATCCAACTATTATTGCATTTCATGACTGACGAGACTGATTTCCCTTCCAAGTCTCATTACTGTCATGTGTCTGTACGTTTTACATTTTTATTCCCATTATTTTTAGTTGAGTGTCTTTCCATTCTCAGTGTTCTTGTTACACATTATAGTACACGGTGTAATTAAAAGCAACTAACCCTATAGAAAGTACATGTTGTTAATTAATACTTGATTATGTACTTAAATGTATTATATACTTGAAAATGAAGTGTAACCATAATTTCTTGTTTGATTCTTTTGTTTTCGGGGTGAATTATGACTGGAACATGTCTTTGGGTTTTGTGAGATTCTCCAAGTTAAGTTCTAATCCAAATATCTAATCTTGTGTTTCCTGCAGGAGCGAGAAATGTTTACCACCAGCTCTTTATGAGCAGCCTACTCATGGATACAAAGTACAAGAAACTTTTCGCAATCCAGTTTGCAAAGGTAAGACTTCAATTTGCTATGGCACAGTCTTTATATTGACCGTAAGCCACACGAAGGCCCAAAAAGTGGAGAACATTTTACCCACTAGAGTTTGCATTCTCATGATAACTGAGGAATGGGATTAAGAAAAAGGTCATTGTGATTTTCTTTTTTTTTATCTCACAATTCTGAGAAAAGAAGTCAAAATTGATATAAACTCAGAATTCTGCCTATTCCAGGTTTGCATCTCACAATTGCAAGTTTATATCTCACAATTCTGACCTTTTTTCCTCTCAGAATTCTGAGTTTATATAAACTAAAATGAAAACTTGCAGTTGTGAGCTTTAATTTCAGAACTGCGAGATATGCAATTGCAATTCTGACTTTTTCTCGGATTTGCAGTTGCGAGTTATAAAATCCAATTCTGAGGGGAAAAAATCTCTTCTTCAGTCTCTTCTCACAATTCTGACTTTATAACTCACAATTACAAGTCTACATCTCTCTCAATTGATCTCTCTATATTATATGTAAACTCATAGTCTCTAGGGAAAAAAAATCAGAATTGTGAGATAAAAAGTCACAATTGCCATTTTTTTTAATTTTTTTATTCAGTGGCAGAAACAAGCTTCCATAATAGTGCAAGGCATCACTTAAGAATAAACATTTTCGAAAGCATTGCCACAAAACATGATACTTGTTAACATTAGCCTAGCATGAAAACAATTGCCTTCTAACTAAATTTACTACCTTATATCATGACGATAATTTCCACACAGTATTCACATGGATATAGTTATTAAAACATATTTTAAATGGAGCAAATTCCACACACATTCCAGTGTAAGTGTGATACTGAAAATACAGTTTTGTTTGTTTTTGCAAACTGGTGAAATAATTTTCTGTGGTAATCAACAAAATGGTGTAGATTAAACTTGCTGCACCACCATATGAAACCGAATTGATATTAGAATGTGCCAAGTTTGACACTTGAATATCCAGTTCACTTTCACTGCACACTCAGTTTGATTCAGCTGATCTGGGAGGATAAGAGAGTTTGAGCAGCCATTCGCTGTTCAGTGAGGGGTATCGTCTCAGAGAGAGAGCATGTGTAATAGAGAGAGCTACTATGACTCATGCTGTCTTTGACTCGCTGCCAGCTGCAGTCCTCCGACTGACCGAGTCATGCTGTGACAGGAAATCTTTTTCTTAGAGGGCCCTGTGAAATCGGTTTTATTTAATTTTTTTTCTCAAATGTGTCCATTTTAATATTTCTGGATTACATTTGTTTTCTACTTAATAATTTAATAATTTATTACAAATATTTAATATTTTTATTTAATAATAATTAAATACATTTATTAAATTATTATTTTTTTTTAAATATAATAATTTGGTTCTGAAACATGTTTTATTTTATTACCTTTTTTTGGTGCTACTTTTGTGTTGTTGGTGCTATTTATTATAATTTTTTAAATGATGATTTAAACTTGTAATGAAAAACACCTGTGATCAAATGAAGGCATGAAATATTAAATTAATCTTTTGAAATTAAAATCGAACACTTGCTTTTATTTTTTGGGAAACCAAGTGCTGCAAAATGGAGTTTTACTGTTAAAATTAAAACTTGCTGGAAAAATGGCCTGAATCTTTAAAAATAAAGATTTATTATTTTGATAAGTATATTCTACTGTACAATAGTGATACATTTCTCTCACAGTTTCTTAAAGTTAACCCAAACTTTTATTGAGGTGGGTTGTTATAAAGACCTTTGGGTTTCTGTGAGTGTGCATGATGATTGTTTTATCAAATTAAATGACGAAGTGCTGCTGAAGTGACTCTCAGAGCAGCTCTGGAGATGAAGTTCATGTTTTCACGTCCTCATAAAATGAGACTGCGGATGCTGAAAACACCACAAGCATTAAGCGTGATTAAGAATGTGCAGTAAATGAAACTCAATCATTTTCCATATTGTGATATGATTTTAAGTGTACAGCCCTGCTTTTGATTTATTTAAATTGTGTATAATTCAGTGATACTCCACGTTATATGGTATTTTATTTATGACTCCATTCCACAATTCTGTTTGCGTTTTCCACATTGCAGAAACCATAGGGCCCTAACTCAGTTAGCTTAAACAACTTTAGAAAGTCAGTGTGTAAAGTCTAGCTTTAGCTCGAGTCCCCTGGCTCCACATGTGCCCCAGTGCCACGGTGTAACTTCAAGCTGTATGTGCCAGACACAGAACCGAGTCGGGGGACGTAACTGCAGATGCCCCTGACCTCTGACCCGGAAGGTGAATCTGCCCCCTTCCCCCCTTCCCTTAGAATTACCGGCGCCTCCAGACAGATTTTATGGAGGACGATCACGAGCGTGTAGTGTCAGTGACTTCTCTGTCAGTGCAGCTCTTCACCGCCCCCACTGTGGTGAGTACCGCCAATCCCACACACCTCTCCTCTCTCTTCTGCCTCTTTCTCCTCTCCTCTGCCTCCTTCACCACTGCCTGCAGAACTATGAGCGCATGCAGAACGACTACGTGAAGGACGACCATGACAGGGAGTTCTCAGTAACTGATCTTTCTGTGCAAATGTTCACCGTGCCTTCTCTGGTAAGTATTTGGAGGGAGAGACGGCCTGCCATGAGGAAGAGGCTCGTCATTTGGGGTTTTTGGTCGCTTCTTCCGTTTCCTTTTTCTCTTTAGATTTTATTTTAATGCTTTCTCTTCCCTTTACATTTTTCCTGTATCTTTTTACAATTGTTCGTTCCTCTTTCCTTACTCTTTAGTGTGATGCACTGAAATTAGGGGCCAAGCACAGAAGGTGCGATGGCACCTATTGTATCCATTGGCGTTCTTATATTCTTCTTCCGCTCTGGAAGTCTATGGCAGCCCATAGAACCGCTTGCGGGAAATTTGTGAAATTTGACTCACGGATAGAGGACAGTCTTAACATTAACTGCAGCAAGTTTGTAGTCTCTAACTCAAACTCTTTAGTGCCACCACTTGTCCAAAGTTTCACTCATGTTTATGCTAATAACTTTTAAACCGTAAGGCACAGAAGGAAAATGCTCGTTTCTTCTGAATCCTTGGCTCATGCCGAGTTGAATGTCCAACAATGTAAAAATCGCAAGGTTTAGTTTTTTTCGCTATTTTTTTTAAAGTTTGAAAAACCTACTTTTTTGAACTCGTCCTAGACGGTTTGTCTGATTTTCACCAAGATTGGCTCAGATCATCTTCAGACCATGCTGGCAAAAAGTTATGGACTTGAAGTTGATTAGCCAAACCATTCTCAAATAATGCGCGAACAAATTCTACGAAAAGCACCCAAAAATGGATGAGGCTATATCTCTGCAATGGTTTGGCGTATTGAGACCAAACTTGGTGTGTGTTATAACTAGCATGACCTAAGGCTACCTCCAGTGTTTCGGCACAGTGCCACGTAGTGGTCAGGAGATATGAAAAATTTATATTTTGCTTATAACTTCTCAATGGTTTTGCCAAAAATCACAAAACTGGTCTCTTTAGATTCGATGAAGCATGCCGAGTCGGCCATTTTGAATTTTGTCTTAAAATGCTGTATTTTACGAATGCATTGACATAGTTACGAAACTCTGTATGCATTTTCGACACCATGCCCTGATGATACTCAAAAAGTTTGAGGGCAGTGCCACCTTGTGGCCAAAAGTTATAATTACATTTCTAAAAATGTTAATAACTTTTGGTTACGTTAGCCTATTGTAATGAGACTGATGTTGATAGATTTCTTGGATCATGCCGAGATCATCGATATCAATTGTCAAAATTGGTCGAATTTCCTGTCCGCCATTTTGATTAATCTTGAAAGCCTATTTTTTCGAGCTCCTCCTAGACCATTGGTCAGATTTTCACCATCTTCAGACCATGCTGGCAAAAAGTTATGGATTTCGTGTTTATACACAAAACCGTTTTCGTTTAATGCATCAATAAATTTGCTGGAAAGTTGCAAAACTGCTTCTGAGGCTGTATCTCTGCAAAGCTTTGACATATTGACACCAAACTTTGTATGTGCCATTGTCCCCTCACACTGACCATGCCACATTAATTTGGTAACAGCGTCACCTATTGGTCAAAAGTAATAAACCATTCATTAACCATTAATAATGACATTTCTATACATTCTAATAACTTTTTATTGCATTAGCCTATTGTGATGAAACTGGTCTCAAAATATTCATTGGGTCATACTGAAAACACACACCAATTTTGCCGTAGTCGGCTAAAGTTCCGGTCCGCCATTTTGATTTGTTGAAAACTTACTTTTTCGAGCTCCTCTTAGACCGTTGGTGCCATTTTTTTTAACCAAAAATCGAGTCAGAGCATCTTCAGACTGTGTTAACAAAAAGTTATGGATTTCGTGTCGATAGACGAAACTGTTTTTGTATAGCGCCGCTACAAATTTGAGGCATAATGCCAAAATGACTCTAAGGCTGTATCTCTGCAAAGCTTTCACATATTGACACCAAACTTTGTATGTGCCATTGTCACCTCACACAGAACATACCGCATCGATTTGATGACAGCGCCATCTATTGGTCAAAACTGATGTGCCATTAAATCATATTACCAGAAGTTGTATTTATGATTTTTCAGCCATTTTGCTAAAATTTTGCTAAAATTCATCCTAAAATTGCTTTAATTACTCATTGTTGCAGTTGGTCTGATGCTCCATACCATGCTTAGCTCCTCATTTCTCTCTGGTTGCGTTTCTCAGGAGAAAGTCAGCATACACCTGCCTGTGTCCCGGCTTTTAGCAGGTCAGTCGAGCATGTTTTCACACAGTGCAGTAAGGCCATATACATGCTACAACATTTTGAGAATAAATCTGGTAGAGTTCTTTGAATTATCATTGTGTGTGTATGGAATATAAGAGTTCACTTTTGAAATTGCAGTGGTTGATGGAAGTAACCACATCATATATTAACTGAGCCGCAACTCTCTCTTCCTGTTAGGTTTACATGCTCTGCTGAGCAAAACTGAAGTTGCCTATCGATTCCCTGAGCAGCTGCCACTGGTAAGTTTGGGGGTTTTGGTTCATGAGAATTGTTGCAAAACAATCTTGGTGCTTTCTGAGGCCTCTTTTGTCTTTCACAGAGTGAACTGAGTCCACCCATGTTGATCGAGCATCCACTTCGCTGCCTTGTACTCTGTGCCCAGGTGCATGCTGGGATGTGGAGAAGAAATGGCTTCTCTTTGGTCAATCAGGTAAGAAGCTTATAAATGTGTTTTATTTTAATAGTCAAGACATTTAGCAGTGTTAATGCCTTTTTATAAAACATATTGTGCTTTTTCTTGGATTGTTTTTGCAGATCTATTATTATCACAATGTGAAGTGTAGAGTGGAGATGTTCGATAAAGACCTCAGCATGCTTCAGGTCAGTAGCGTGAAAAATTATTAACCAAAAAGTATTTAATTCCAAAATGAAAACAAAAACATTTTATTTATAATTTTACATGAAGAAATCTATTTTAGTAAAAAAAAAATAAAAAAAAAATGGATTGCATTCATTTTAATTAATGAAAATAGTTGTGTTCAATGTAATGGGTTAAAAATGTTGCAATACAAAAATATATATATTTTTTAAAAGGTCCTAAAGTTGTAATCCATTATCACAATTTTCTGTACCAATATTCGCTTTACTGTTACAGTGATGGAAAACCTGATTAATTCAGGGGGTTTTTTTTTCTTCTGCCTTAAGCTATAGAAATGTCTGTAGTCAATATGCATTTTTCATAGTTAATGTCAGTCAAATACAAAAAGAGCCTTCAGGGCATGTTCAATCCTGTGTTATATTTTAAATATTGAACAAATATAATTTTTTGTGTTTATGTAAGTTGCTAATTCAGCACAGAGATAAAGCTCTGCTTAATATAGACCATAATTAGGAATGGGAGTAAGCTAATTTTATTAGAATTTTTTTTAAATAAGAATGTTAATGCTTATACACCATGATAATTTGACTGATATATCTCTCCAAAATATGTCATTGAAATTCACTGGTTAAAGTGCTGAAACACTGATATTATTAAAATTGTAGCAATTGTAGAGAACCAAGAATCTATGGAGAATATCAGACATCTGGATGCATTGCGTTAATGACAGTTTGGCAGGAAAATGCGCTTATTTATTATGAAAGCAAAGTACAAGAAACCTTTTAGCACAATTTGATTTATTTTGTCTATGGTAAGTATAAGTTCTTATTCATGCTCTTTTTGTATCTAGGCTGGAGCTTCCATGATGGATCCAAACCACTTCCTGATGATCATGTTGAGCCGTTTTGAGCTCTATCATATCTTCAGCTCAGCAGACTGCAGAAAGAGATACAGCAGAGAGAACGCTAACAAGGTCTGCTTACTTCCAAACCACTTTTTGTCCCCATTTCTTTTCTCTTTACTTGATTTCTCTCTGCTTGCACTCATTTCTTTTGCCAGTGACATGTTTCTCTCTCTGTCTCTCAGGATGTGGTTCAGCAGAATAACACACTAATTGAAGAGATGCTGCATCTGGTCATTATGATCGTGGGTGAGTGATTATTTCTCAACACACGTCCTTTAAATGTTGTCATACGGGTGTATTTAGCTTATTTGACACCATAGAAAGTAAAAAAAATGTCTTTCATGCTTTGTTTGTTTCTTTCCTGCAGGGGAGCGATACACAGCAGGTGTTGGTCAGGTGGAGTGCTCTGATGAGATAAGGCGAGAGATCGTTCACCAGCTATGCATTCGACCCATGGCCCACAGCGAGCTGGTCAAAGCCCTGCCTGAGAATGTAAGTCAACCCTCACTGCTTCACCCTTGCCCAAGATCATAAGTAATTATGCTAGCTTTTTACTCTCCTAAACATTACGCAAATATAGGAGAGATAAGTAAGTTACTAGATGCAATCATTTAAAAAATGTGAACAGTATTAGCCTTCGTATTCCAATAATTGTATAAAGCATTCATTTCTGCCGTTAGGGAACCGTCATTAAATTCTGTACAAATCCCATCCATAATCATGGTCTGTATTAAACAGAAAGTAGCTGTATAATAGACCTCTGTGCTGATATAACAACTTACAAATACACATGAAAGTCAGAAAATGTAATTGAATAAGGATTGATCTTGTCGTAAAGTTCCCGTTGATCTAAAGCAGGACAGATGAGCGGAACAGTTTTTTGTTTTTTTTTTTGTATTTGAATGCCATCTAGTGGTAGTTTGTGCTAATGAATTTTACACACCCTTCCGCACACAGGAGAATAAGGAAACCGGCATGGAGAGGGTCATCGACAGTGTGGCTTCGTTTAAGTGAGTGTCCTTAATAAAAGAGTGTTGTCCGAAGAGTTGAATTTGTCTGTGTGTAAGCCTGTGTGAATTGTGTCGTACAGGAAGCCTGGTGTGACTGGTAGAGGACTTTATAAACTCAGGCCAGAGTGTGCCAAGATGTTCAACCTTTACTTCCACCATTACTCCAGAGCTGACCAGTCTAAGGTAACACTGCATTATCCAAATTGAAACTCACAAAGAACAATAGTTAAAAATCCATTTTATTTATTTTTTTATTTTTTATTTTTTTGTCCTTCAGGCTGAAGAGGCCCAGAGAAAAATAAAGAGGCAAAATGGGGAAGATTCAGGTACTAAACTAACACACACACACACACACACACCCATACATTAGGTGTGGGCAAACAATTCAAACGTTTCACTCAGAAAAGCACATTGCGTAATTAAAGTGGCTTGTTTAAATTTTTTTTTTCTATAGTTCTGAATCACTTTTTATTGACAAATTTTGAGGATGGTGATATAAATTGGGCAGCACAGAAAACAATCATAGCATTATGTTGGGCTGCTGTGCTTGATTTTAAGGCTGCACAATATAATAATAATAATAATAATTCATTTAAAATAGTAATTTAATGATTTATTAATAATTTTATTGTTGGTGTTGTTAGTTCTACTTCTAGTATTACCAAATAAATTGCTAAATACAAACATATATATATTACTAATATTTATATTGTAATATTTCACAGTTTAATAAAATTTAATATTTAGGAAAAAAAAAATCAAATTTAATTTTACATTAAAGCTGTATCAAACTTTTGTTTTGATGGAAGTCTGCAGGGAGCCTTTATAAAGTAGGGACTTTAATAAAACACAGAAGAATTAAATGTGGAAGATGGCGATGA